TACTACTACTACTACTACTACTACTACTATTATTATTATTATTATTATTATTATTATTATTATTACTATTGTTGTTGTTGTTATTGTTGTTTTATAATTGTTGTTTATAATTTGTACAATTAACCTCCCTGTGGTTCGACCCCGGTCTTGCCGGGTTATTTATTACTTCGACACTCCTGCACTTGGGAGAAGACATCAATCTTTTAGTCGTGTCAAGTTTTTGGCGCCGTTGCCGGGGAGGTAAGTTCTTGTATAAATTATAGTATTTATTTTATTTTCTCTTTTCACTTTTCTTGTATATAACTTTGTTTCTTTTCTTTTGTTTCTTTTTATTTTGTTTTCTTCCTCCTTCTTTTGCTTTCTTCTTCTTTTTTTATTTTATTCCTACACGTGCATGAGAGTGTGGTCACGTACATCAAGTGGTAGACTTTGTAGGGTATCCTCATCATTTTCAGAAAATATGGCCGAAGAAGATAATCAATCACTTCATAATGAGAATAATGAGAATAACCGTGCTAGAACACTTAGAGACCACATGAATCCCACAAGAACAAGTGCACCATCATGCATAGTTTTTCCTCCTGATGCATCTCATTTTAATTTTAAACCAGGTATTATTCAACTTTTACCTTCTTTTCATGGCTTAGAATTGGAAAATCCATACTTGTATTTAAGGGAATTTGAGGAGGTTTGCAACACATATAATAATTTAAATTGTAGCATGAACACCATCAGATTAAAGCTTTTTCCTTTTTCATTAAAAGATAAAGCTAAAACATGGCTACAAAATTTGAGACCAGGATCCATTCGTGCTTGGGATGAAATGCAACAACAGTTTTTAAAGAAGTTTTTCCCATCTCATAGAACAAATTCTTTCAAAAGACAAATCACCACTTTCACTCAAAAACTAGGAGAAACATTTTACCAATGTTGGGATAGGTATCGAGACTTGCTTAGTACTTGCCCTCATCATGGTTTTGAAACATGGAGATTGGTTTCACATTTCTATGAAGGGTTAACACCTAAAGATAGGCAAATGGTTGAATTGATGTGCAATGGAACTTTTGAAGATAAAGACCCTGATGAAGCAATGGAGTACTTAGACTTGTTAGCTGAAAATGCTCAAAATTGGGACACCGCGGGTATTTATGAGGCACCGAGTAAAACTCAACCTCATACATCTAGTAGAGGTATGTATAACCTTAGGGAAGATCATGGCCTTCAAGCCAAGTTTGCATCTTTAGCTAGAAAAGTCAAGGCACTAGAATTGAAAAAGAGTGGTCAATTAAAATCTGTTGAAAACATTGTGTGTCAAATATGTGAAACAAATGAACACTTAACCAATAACTGTCCAACCTTGCCTTCTTTTAAGGAATGTCTCCATAAACAAGCCCATGCTTTAAACAGTTTCCAAAAGGCTAACCACAACCCATACTCTCAAACATACAACCCTAGTTGGAGAAATCACCAAAATTTTAGTTGGAAGAGTGACAATGCACAAACTTCACAACCACAGTTTCAAGCACACCATAATTTCCAAAATTATCATGGATATGCACCTCCTTATGCTCCACCTCCTACAAGAAATTTTGAGGAAACTTTGTATGCATTCATTGAAAAGCAAGAGACAATCAATACTCAACTTGCTCAAAACATGACAGATTTTAAAGATACTCTTGCAAAATTAACATCTGCTCTCAGTTTCCAAGAGAAAGGTAAGTTTCCATCTCAACCACAGCAAAATCCCAAGGGGCAATACAATGCAAATGCAGGTAGTTCTGGAAGTCAACACGTGGATCAAGTCAAATCAGTCATCACTCTTCGCAATGGTAAGGTTATTAAAAAACTCACTCTTGAACCTTATGAGAAAGATGATGAGTCAATCTCTAAGGGTAAGGAAGGGGTTGAATCTGAATATTGCAAGGAAAAGACTAATTTCCTGCCAGCACTTCCATTTCCTCATGCCATGACTAATCAGGAAGAAATCGAGGATGAAAAAAACACCAAAAATGTTGATGCGGATCTTTTATCAAAAGTGACAATAGATTCGACACCCGACATCACACCAATCGATGATTACTTTCTTGATGAATCTCTACTTTCTCTTAATTCAATGCCTTGGTTTGCTAAAAATATCAATTTTCTTATTTCAGGATTTTTGCCAGCTCACTAGAGTACCGAACATAAAAGACAATTTTTGAGCAACGTGCAAAATTTTTATTGGGATGAACCTTACTTATTCAATTATTGTCCTGATCAAATATTTAAAAAATACATTCCCGACAATGAGGTAAGTAATTTTATTAAATTTTGTCACTCTAAGGCATGTGGGGATCATTTCTCGTCAAAAAAGAGGATTGCAGAAATCTTACAAAGCGGATTTTATTGGCTCACCATATTTAAGGAATCACATGCATTCCTCAAAACCTGTGAAAATTGTCAAAAGGTGGGATTTATTTCAAAACACAGAGAGTCTTTAGATAATCTTCTATTGACTCTTAAGTCTCATCATAGTCGAGATAAGCATCGTGCAATTCATGATTTATGGCCAATATTTCATAAAGAACATGATCGACTTAGTCTTGGGAATTTGACTAAAAAAGACTCTGTTTGCCAGTTTTTAAGAAAACTGGATAGGAAGCCTATCCCCGACCCATAGAGGGCGTTTAAGCCGTTCTTGGACGTAAAACCAAGGGAAGATGTGAGCCATAATCACAACTACCTGTACATACACATGCTTTTTCAAAAGTAAATAAATAAATAAATAAAGAGAGAGAGAGAGAGTGTGTGAGACTCCAGCTAGCCTACATATAGGTGTTATGATTGCCTTTCTAATTTTTCATCTATAAAACCCTCTTTTCCTTCCTTTCATTTCTACTCAACCTATACATTCAACAAATACAGAAGTGTGTAGAAATGGCGAGTTCCTCAGGTCATCATATAAGAAATATTTGTGCTTTCGGTGGATCTAGTCCTGGGAAAGAAAAGGAGTTTTTAGAATCAGCAAATCATCTTGGTCAGGTGCTAGCTGAGAGAAAGATTCATTTAGTGTATGGGGGAGGCAGTCTTGGGTTAATGGGAGGTGTGTCAATAGCTGCATTTTTAGGAGGTAGTCAAGTTTTGGGGGTCGTCCCCAAAGCTTTAGCACAAGGAGACATCATTGGAAAAACAATTGGAGAGGAACTTCAGGTCTCCATAATATCGGCTCGAATGAATGCAATGTTTAACCATGCTGATGCCTTCATTGCTTTACCAGGTGGTCTAGGTACATTGGAAGAGATCTTTCATATTTTCTCTTGGGCTCAACTGCACATTCACCATAATCCCATAGGTTTGTTAAATATTAATGGTTATTATGATAAGTTGTTGTCTTTTCTTGATCATGCTGTGGAACAAGAATTTCTAACATCTTCTGCACGACAAATCATAATCTCTGCTGCTACTGCTGAACAATTAATTGACCAACTACAATCCTTCATTCCTGTAATTGATCCTTCCATGAGTCGCATAAATTGGTCAACTAAGGAAAGCCGTAAAAAGCTTAGATGGAAAGCCGTAAAAAGTTTAGATTGGATTTGAGCCTTCATTTGTGAATTTTTGTGTCTTTTGGTTTTATTATTGTGTTTTGTTATTTCTTATTTTTGTTTCAGTGTGTTTCAGGTTTGTCAGTGTTCTATATTATGTTTATGAGTATCTCCAATATTCTTTTTAACATTCACATAAACAAATAGCATTACAACTAGATAATTATCCGTGCTATTCCGTGAGCCCGTTCAATTTTTTGTTAAACATCAAAAAAAATATTTAACCATTATTAATATATTTTTTAGCAAAAAAACATTATTTAAAAATTGATCTGATATGACATAATCGACTTTGCAAGTCTAAAAACAATCTAATGACTGATAAAAATATAATTTAACTAAAAAAATCAAGACGATATTATTTTTTAAATATTGAGATAACAACATATTAGATATACTTGGATTAACTCATATTAACTCAAGTTAATTTATTAAATCTTTAACTCAGATAATGAGACCCTGATAACACTGTAGAAAACAAATAAATAAAATCATTAAGTTCAATTCTCAATCAACCCAATATTGAAGGATCAAATTAATAATAAAATTTAATTAGAAAAATGAGCTGAGTCAAACCGAGTCAACTTTCTAAAACTTAGTCATGAGATTGTGATAAGCGCATGAAAAAAATAAAAATAAATTATGAAACTCAATTTTCAATCAATGCAATGTTGAAAAATACAATAAAAAAAATCAATAAAAAATAAACATGAAAAAACCACCTAAGTCAACTTGAGTTAGCTGACTAAACCCTTGATTCAAATCATAAGATTAGGATAACTTCATGAAAAGAATATCAAAATAAATTATGAAGTTTAATTCTCAATCATCCCAATATTAAAGGATGATATTTTAAAAAAATTAAATTAAAAAAAGAAACAAAATACTTAAGGTAATCAGGCTAACCCATGACTTGAATAATAAAATCATGATAACCTAACAAAAATAAAATAAATTATGAAGCATAATTTTCAATCAATTCAATGTCAAAGGAACTAAATTGAGAAAATAATCAATTAAAAAAATACCATGAGTTAACCTACTAAATCTGAATCGCGAGACTAAGATAATTACATAGAAAAAATAAAATAAAAAATATAAATATAAATTTCTAATCAATCTAATATTGAAGGATGACATTAAAAAAAATTCAATTAAAAAAAAAATAAAAAACCTAGTTCAACTTACAAGCTAACCTCCAAAACTCATAATTCAGATTATGAGATAATGATAACCTTATAGAAACAAAAAATAAATATAAGACTAAATTTTCAATCAACCCAATTTTGAAGGATGAAGCTGAGAAAAAAATCAATTAAAAAAAAAACAAGGCAAGTCAATAATTGTTAACCTATTAAACCGGTGCCAAGGCCAAATTTTCAATAAATTCAATTTTAAAGGATGAAGTTGAGAAAAAAATCAATTAAAAAACAAAAAAAAAGAAGAAAGCCAAGCCAATAATTGTGAACCTATTAAACCGGTGCCATGACCAAATTTTCAATTAATTCAATTTTAAAAAATGAAGTTGAGAAAAAAAATCAATTAAAAAATAAAAAAATAAAGTCAAGTCAATAATTGTTAACTTATTAAACAGGTGTCATAAGATTAGAATAACATCATAAAAAATAAATTGAAACAAATTATAAAGTCCAATGTCCATTAAACCCAACACTAAGGATGAAATTGCATTAAAAAAAGCATGATGACTAAATTGTAAAAAGCCAAAGCATTTCACAATTCATTGCTATAGTGAAATGCCAAGGTCTTTCATTATATGTTAACTATAATTATTAAACAGGTGTGGTGTAAATTTAGTCCTTGTATTTTAAATGAAATCATAACTTAATATCTTTATTTTTATAATTAATATTACATTCATTGATTTTATTTATTTATTATATGATGCATTTAGTTTATTAACAAATATCAATAACATAGTTTTATAGTATTGTCTTTTTGACAGTACAAAACAATAGTATTAGATTTAAAAATCATTTTAAATAAATATGTTTTTCAAACAAAAACAATTATATATAGAGGTTTTTTCAAAATGTTTTTATAGTTAAAAAAATTCTAAGTGAAAATAAAAAAAGATTATGTATACGTGTAATTAAATAAATTAAAAACTCTATATATTAATAAATAAATAAATAAATAATCATCAACGATAAATAAAAACAAAACATCTTATTCTCTTGAATTTATTTTTAAAAAATAAATGATATATTATGTATTAAAATAGGCAATACATTATATGATTTTACTCAAAATCAATCTGAAAAATCAAGGCTGGTGATTTTTTTATCCAAAATTAAAAATTATTTTTCTTTTAAATTTTTCTATATGAATTGAACCTACAATTTATGTATTTATTGAAGAAATTATTATATTTTTTTTTATCATTTTGTTTAGTGGCCACTTAAATTTGGTTAGGACAATAATTCTTGTTGAAATTGACTCTCCTCAAGCTCCAATAAAATCTAAATTGTTGATTTTAGAATTAATAGTATGAATTAATTATTATAATTTTTTTATCATTTTGTTTAGTTGCCACTTAAATTAGGTTAGGACAATAATTCTTGTTGAAGTTGACTCTCCTCAAGCTATGGATAACAAATGACCCATTAAAATCTAAATTGTTGATTTTAGAATTAATAGTATGAATTTATAAGTAAATTATAAATTAGTCCTTCTAGTTCTGCCAAATAAATTAAATAATCTTTCTAATTTCAAAAACTAATTAACTAGTCCCTTGGCTAGTGTTGGCCAGGCTTAATTTAATATTATTTCATTTCAATTTTTTATTTTCTCATCAATCTTTTTCTTAATATTTATTTATTTATTTTTCTATTTCTTAATACAACTAAGAACAAAATAAATTGGAAAAAAACATAAATTTAAAAAAGCTTAAAACGAAACACACTAAATAATTTGTTTCTCAAAACTAAAGGTACCAATTTATAATTCACTCATGAATTCATGCATGAAGCGTTTCTGGCAATGGAGGGGAACCGCCATTAAATTTAGTTGCTGTGAAGAACAGCGTGAATACATGGCAGATTCACGTGTCAAGATGCCATGGGCAAGCAAGATCAGAATCTATCTCAGTCAACTCCTCGGATCTTTACAAAGTTAACTATGAAAGTTAGTACAAAATACCAAGGACAAGAACAGAAGCCTCTTCCTATTTTTGGACACGCTCACATGTCAGTGTCTCTTTGTCCCTCTCTTCTGCCTCTCCCACTCTTTGCCTTCGATTTTATCATTAAAAATTCATTTCATAAAACTACTATATCATTTCTTTTTTTGCTTCCCTTTCATTTGCTTCGTATTCTCAGATTTTCGAAGCTGCTACAATATTACGAAATATGTTCACTATTTCATACATGCCATAGCCATAGCCAAGCCAATATTGTTGGCATACGAGGAGATTGAATTAGAAGAAGGGATTTTTTTATATATGATATTCCAATAGTGGAATGTTCATCTTTGATTCCCTTTTATGTTTTTTTGGAAAATAAATTCTATTTGTGCAGAAATTCAGTAACAACTCAAGAGATGCATAGCAGATGGAATTGAGCTTAATGAAAGGATTACTTTGAAATGTACGAGCTCGCTCGCTCTATATATATATATATGTTAATGAAGTGTTAATATCGTTCTTTCTGTATATATGTTCACAGTACAAAATCAATGTGTTTTGTGGGTTCGGTCTGATTTCAGACACTTGTATAAGTATGATGGATGATGCATTTGTAGGTTTTTGAGCACAAGCTAGGGTGCGTGCCATAATCTTAGGGGCTGTGTTTCAAACTTGTCATAATTCAATACAGCATAAAGGTTCTTTACGGTTATCAAAGATCACAGATTCAACATACATTGAATTAAGGAAAATCCATTCAATGAGGGGTGTGTGTGTGTCTTAACTGTTTGCAGGTTTAAGGTAGCATTAAAAGAAATTTGTTCACGTGTTTGGTTTGCATCTTTCCTGAAAGGTAGGATAGTCTTTTTTCTAGCCAGCTTGATGTCCAAGTTGATGTAGATCTTTGTATATTTTGTTCACATGATACCTGGTTTAAGATGAGGCCATGGATTTACTACCTCTTCGATTGCCTCTTGTGGCTTTAAACTAATGTCTTGTCAGTTTCAGTTGATTCAGCGCTGCAATAAATGCCAACCAATAAATGATTTTTAGTTGCCCTTATATTTCCACACCTTTGTCTTTCTTGTATTGCAGATCAAATCCCATAGTTAAGGCCACAGCTTTATTCTCAGTGGAACAAAATGGGTTTTGGGAATTCAAAATCTGTAAGGTTTGTGCCTTTCCACTTCTATAATTCTATCAAATTTCTAATTTTGCTCCCAACTTTTATACATAATAAGTCTCCAAGTGCTAGCTAATTTTGTTGTCCAATTTAGATAATTGAATTCATGGGCTCGATCACTTCCTAAATTTGAGACCTGCATGTAACGATTTTTCAGGTTTAGAGATGATCTGGAGTTAAGCTTGCCGCCGGAAGTGAATGGAGATGGTGAAATTAAGCTTAAATACAACATTGATGGAACACAAATGTCAGACTCTAGTAGGAAGATGATGTCTCAGATGGAGGTGTCTGGGAAGACTGGAAAATCATTTAAAGCTAAAATACTGTCTAGAGTTTTCTCTGAGGATTATGATAGAGTGAAGAAAAAGATACTGGATCCTCGAGGAGCATCGATACGGAGATGGACTAAGATCTTTTTAGTAGCATGCTTAGTTTCCTTGTTTGTTGATCCACTTTTCTTTTACTTGCCTGAAGTCTGGAAGGAAGTATGTATTGATATAGGCATACCCCTCGAAGTAGGCCTTACAATTGTTAGATCAATATCTGATGTCTTTTACATGATTCAGATTTTAATTCGTTTTCGTACTGCTTATGTCGCGCCTTCTTCTCGTGTTTTTGGAAGAGGAGAACTTGTTATAGATTCTAAAAAGATTGCGTTAAGGTACCTACAGAAGAATTTCTGGATCGACCTTATTGCTGCCTTGCCTCTTCCTCAGGTGTGCCCACTCTGTCATTTTTAGTTTGCATATAAACAGGCACAAAAATGGTTCCACCGGTTAATCTTGTTGCTTTATCTACATTGCAGGTGTTAATTTGGATTGTTATCCCCAATCTTAGTGGTTCAACGATGAGAAACACAAAAAATGTCCTTCGTTTCATCATCATTTTTCAGTATCTCCCACGACTTTTTCTGATTTTTCCACTCTCATCGCATATTGTCAAGACCACTGGTGTTGTAACAGAAACAGCATGGGCAGGAGCTGCTTACAACCTGATGCTTTACATGCTGGCTAGCCATGTAAGTTCAAAGTAACCTTTTCTCTTGACGAACTTTAGATTAGCATAGATTTTGTCTTGAATAATGGAGAATTCTAGCTGTCTCTTCATAGTAGTTTTAACATTTAGAGAGAGGAAAAAAACTCTTTTTAAGCACACCGCACCTGCTCTACTGCTCGCTTACAGAGAGAGCATACCTATATCACTTGATGACTCTGATAGAATTGTCCAGCTTTGTTAGTGTTTCTTCTTCTTGTTGTTTTTTTCTCTTTTTTGTCTTTGTTAAGGTTAATGAAGCATAGGACAAGCTATTTCTGGTCAAAGAAATGGCTTTGGGTTGATCAATTGAGCTACAAGTTAAACCAATGTGTGCGGCTGCGTATAAGCTAAATAGTGACCCTCAACCTATTAATTTCCTTGCTGCAAAACAGGTTTTAGGAGCTTGCTGGTATCTTCTATCGATTGAGCGACAGGAAGCATGCTGGAGTAGTGTCTGTAATCTAGAGAAGTTATCTTGCGAGTATGGATTCTTTGATTGTCGTCGGGTGCATGACAGTCCTGATAGGGAATCTTGGTTCAAATCAAGCAACATCACAAACTTTTGCAACCCAGATAATAATTACTATCAGTTTGGAATATATGGTGATGCTTTGAAATTTGATGTTACGACTGCATCATTCTTCAACAAGTACTTTTACTGTTTTTGGTGGGGCTTAAGGAACCTCAGGTAATCTGCATTCTAACCTCAGGTAACCCATAGGATCACTGCTAGGATTTAAGCGCTTCATTTAAATTCCAAACTCTACTTTTGATCAAAAATCAGATATTAATGATACTGTTTTATCAATGCTCCTTAACATCAACCCTGCATGCAGCTCACTGGGGCAAAATCTTTCAACAAGCACTTATGTGGGTGAAATAGCATTTTCCATCATCATTGCAACGCTTGGACTGGTTCTCTTCGGATTGCTTATAGGGAATATGCAAGTAAGTTCTTCACATTTTTATCAATGCCAGATTTCTGTAGCAAATTTAAAATGCCATATGAATCCTCCCATGTCCCAATAACTGAAGTTGCACAACTTGTTTAGGTTTGCCTTAACATCAACCCTTATTGTTAGACTTCTTCCCCAGAACCGAGAAACTGATGACATCAGAGAATTCAGAAAATGTCTTGTAGTCCTTTTGCATTGCTTTCGTTCTCTGAACTGCTTCTTTAAATTCTCAGAAATCCTAGGGTTGCTACGCTACATGATATTCACTACTGTTATACGTTGTACTTGCAGACATACCTACAATCAACAACAGTTCACTTGGAAGAGTGGAGAATCAAGAGAACTGATACGGAACAATGGATGCATCACAGGCAGCTACCGCATGAGTTGAAGCAGTCTGTTCGGAAATACGATCAGTATAAGTGGGTGGCCACTAGGGGCGTTGATGAGGAAGCTGTTCTCAAAGGCCTGCCCATGGAACTGCGAAGAGACATCAAACGCCATCTCTGCCTTGATTTGGTTCGGAGAGTAAGTCACTGTAACGAACATTCCCTTATGCACAATGACACTTCAACTCAACAGGGGTGTTGCTTAATCTATTCGTAGAACTAGACATGGATGATGTGGTTGAAAAGAAAACTTTGTAATCGGATTGGTAGGACAGAATAACTTCTGTTGGACCAGTTTAATTGACAACAGAAATTATCGAATTACTCAACTCTGAAGAGCAATTTAATTCAAGCTATACACAGTACAAAAGGCAGAAATTGTCTTTTATCTGCTTAGATCTTTATGCAGCGATTCAAGGTAGACATGGACCACATAATTTAGAATTTAAGTACTCAGAAGAGCATTAACGACGAGGAAGTTAGTGGTTTGTGCCTACTATTATTATATGATTGCAATGTATTTCCTTATGAAATACGCAGGTTCCGCTCTTTGATCAAATGGATGAAAGGATGCTAGATGCAATATGCGAGAGGCTTCGACCAGCATTGTGCACTGAAGGCACGTTTCTTGTGCGTGAAGGTGATCCTGTCAATGAGATGCTGTTCATAATTCGCGGCAACCTTGATTCCTACACAACTAATGGTGGCCGAACTGGATTTTTCAATTCCTGCCGCCTTGGTCCAGGTGACTTTTGTGGTGAGGAACTATTGACATGGGCATTAGATCCACGCCTAAGTATCATCCTCCCATCATCTACCCGCACAGTTAAAGCTATTTTGGAAGTAGAGGCATTTGCCCTCAGTGCTGAAGACTTGAAGTTTGTAGCATCGCAGTTTAGAAGACTTCACAGCAAGCAACTAAGACAAAAGTTCCGGTTCTACTCACACCATTGGAGAACATGGGCTGCCTGTTTCATACAAGCAGCATGGCGCCGGTATAAGAAACGGAAGGAAGCTACTGACCTCAGAGCTAGAGAAAATCCTACAGCTGCCGATCCTGAATTAACATCACCAGGGTCTGGCTTATCCATGTATGCAGCAAGGCTGAAAGCAAGCGCTAGATCTAGAAGGGGTGTCCTTAAGCGTTCCGGCTCAGATTCAAGTGTTGTGAGCTCACTGCAGAAGCCGGACGAACCAGATTTTTCAGTAGATGAGGAATGATTATTACAAGTCTCCCATGCTTGAATGTATAGATTAGCATGTTTAATTATTACGAGTCTTTTATGCTATTATTTCATTATTTGTTCATAAACATTATAAAGCTATATACAGTCAGGACAACTTATGAATTAAACATTAACGCAAACCATTTTATCATTTGAAGTGATCCATGAATCCTAAGTCGAAGTTGACTTTAAATCTGGTTTTGAAGATTAAAAGGATAAATCCAATTCCTATTTCACAAGTGCTTATGATTTTTCTGGGACGTTGCCTTGCAGACTGGTTTTCAGGTATGGGGACTCATCGTCAACTCTACTTCGGCAATGATTTTCCTGTTGGAGCCCATGAGGACACTCAGCAATTGCTTCATATTTCGGTACTCAAACCAAGTCCATCGTTCTAGTCTAGTAAAGTATAGCTAGTTTATGCATGCTCAATTAGCGAGATCGGATCAATTTTTTTTTTTTTAAATGCAAAAATCGAATTTATAGACATTGTCAAATTAACACAGTTTCTAGCAACAAGAGATCAAAAACATATTTATAAATTTAATACGTGCATTTAATAAAATAAACAGAGAATTATAGGATCAATAAATATTAAAAAAGAGTTGCTAATGATAATTGGAAATTAAATTGTAAAATATTTATCAAACTGGTATCTTTAGAAATTCTTTTAAAAAATATTAGCTGGATGTTGAAATTTAGAAACTAAAAAATAAAAAAATAAAAAAATCTCCCTATGCATCACATGCGGTCATTGAAGCAATTGACTTTTTTTACAACCCAACACAGCAATCTTACTCTTGGCAATGATTTTTTTAGTTGGAGCACATGCGGCCATTGAAGCAATTGCTTGCTGTTCTGCACACCACCTCCTGGAAGAGTGGACCTTATTGTCTGAAATGGTCTGCCTTTGAATGTGAAATGAAAGGCCCCCAGTTCATAATGCCTAGTTCATCTTCTTTCTTTCTTCTTCTTCTTGTTTTTTTTTTTTTTTGGATTTGAAACTCGGTTTTGAAATTGGTCAATCACAATTCAAGTCTATATTGTCAAATCCAATCCTTTAAAACCCAGCACGGGCATGGTGAATGCGGCCATGTTGGAAAATACAGGGACATAAAAAATCATTGACAAAAACGGTGCTCTTTCTAACAGAAGGTGCAAAAATGGCTGACAACTTCAACAAAAGCCACGCCGATGATTAACTATGTGTTTGGTAAATATAATATATGCGTTCTTGTAAGAATATACTTGTATTGAAAGATTACTAAATTTAATGCTTTTCCAAACTTTCTTTTTCACATTTTTCAACATCAATATATTAAAATTATTCAAAAAAATTTAAATAAACATATAAGTAGTTCTCTTCACTAGTATTAAAATTAGACGATTCTGACTTTCAAGATTTTAAGAGTTTGCAAAAGTGTTTTGGTTAAAATAAAGAAGATGGGGAAAAAAAGTTCATTCAATAATCCTCGGCCAACTTTCGGAGCCCATAATCTTTGACCTAGCATGTAAATATGAACAAAGAAGTTTTGTATTTACGTATCATCTTTTATAATTTCCCAAGGACCATCTTTTTTAGCCTTTGTCTATAATTTGTCCAAGGGTTCCTTTTACTCCAGTGTTTGCTTAGACTTCAAACTTAAAAGGGAGTGATTGCCTTGCCGAGAAAATGACATTGAGAAAGTAAGAGCAATCAAAGAGGGGGGCAAAAAAAAAAAAAAAAAACCCTATCTCCCTCCCAACAAAGCCTTTTCTCTTGGAATTATAGAAAATTACGATAAATATTTGATATATGTATCTTATGATATATTTTCTCTTGGAACACGATAAATATTTGATATATATTTGATATATGTATCTTATGATATATCTATGATAGATCAATGTGTTTATATATATATATATATATATATATATGTGTGTGTGTGTGTGTGTGTGTATTTAAAAGCATGTTTACTCAAAATTTCATAATTAGAAAAGTCAAATATAAGTAGTGGCAGAGTCAAAGTTTTTTAAACGAGAGGGCAAATTATTAATAAATACTATGTTATGTAGATATATATTAAAAAGCATGTTTACTCAAAATTTCATAATTAGAAAAGTGAAATATTAGTGCGGAGTCAAAGTTTTTTAAACGAGAAGGCAAATTATTAACAAATACTATGTTATGTAGATATATATTAAAAATCAATTCAAAATATATTAGTATAATTCATATCAAGTGAAATTAATTTAAAAATACTTTAAAATAAAAAACTTATATTTTAATTATTCTTTTTGAGTTTTTATATTTTGAAACTGCTTTATAAAACTTACATATCTATATGCATATAATAAGTATATATGTTGATTAAATTATACTTAATCATTTCTAGACATTTAATTGAAGAATAATATCTAGTGTCTGTTTAAGAGGAACAATAGTTTAAAAACATGTTTTCAAATTGATATTTTAATTACAAATAAATTATTTAAAAATATTAAATTTCAATAAACTACTCTACCAATGCAATAAATGCCAAGAATAGTGGTTTGCATGAATATTAATTTATTTCCTTATAATAAGAAAAGAAATATTTAATTGATTAAATAAGCAGATTTAAATATTTATTTTAAACATATTCATATCAAAACCCTTAAATTATCATAAACCCTAATATTTTTAATAAATAATTAAAAAATAAAAATAAAATTTGACAATAAAAAAATAGAAAAGACAGAGAAAATTTACTTAAAGTATAAAGCAAAAGGTAATTAAAAATTAAAATTAAAATTTGACAATAAAAAAAATAGAAAAGACAGAAAATTTACTTAGAGTATAAAGCAAAAGATAAAAATAATTGATTACTTAACTGTATTTAAAAAAAAAATTATATATTGAAGAAAGCCAAGTAATGTGTTGGACATGTATACAAGAGAGAGGCAGGGAAAGCAATAGAAAATTTTGTATAATTAGGGTAAAAAAAAAAAAAGAGGAAATGAGCTCCAATAACAACTTTTCAATATCAATACTTCACTACATTATTATAATAATATTTTAATATAAAAATATTAAAAATAATAATGGGGCAACTACCCCTTTTTAGATTTACGTGGCTCCGCCACTGAATATTAGGTAATAACTTAATTTATCTAGACTTGGTAAAATGTCATGCTCAGGTGACATGAGTTTAGTATACTTTTAAGCTCAATATTCTTGGGTTTAGGTACGTGCTATGCGTTGAGTTCAAGTGTATGTGGATCTAGCTAGGTACTAGACTTAACATCATTGGGTTCAGCTACGCACTGAACCCAATTCTAAAAAGATATCAGACTTAATATTATTGAGTTCAGTTAGATACTGATCGTACTAAGTGTATATGAGTTTGGTAAGCTGTCAGACTCATCACCCTTGACTTTAAAATCATTTCAAGTCCAAATATATTTGATAATTATTTTAGGTTCCATATTGGGTCACGATGATTTGTTTGTTTATTCTTATGTTTTTTTAACATAAAATATTAAAAGTAAAAAATGATTATCTCTCTGTATCTCTAGGTATATAAAAGGCTTCTAAGAGTCTATTATATTTTCATTAATATTAATGTCATGTAAATGACATTTATCTCTCAATAATATTGTATAAGATATATTTATCTTTCATTAATGCTACTAGGAGGAGATAACTTTCAAACCTCTTTATTCAAGAAACACAACAAAGTTTAAAGGATATATATACCGTCTCAATCATTGAGGTAAAGGATGCCCTATAATTAAAAGCTCATTCTTTCATTTATTATAATTTTTTATTAAAAGTCGTTAATTTTATCATCAAAGGGTCTTTGAATCTCACTAAAAAGAACTATTTTAAGGGGTCAAGCCTCTTATCACTAACCATTAATTTCATGAACTATAGAGAATAGAATGTTAAAGTGAGCATGTAATTGCCCCTATTCAAGCACTCAAAAAACCTATTTTTTGAGCATATTGAATATTTGAATCATCATCAATCAGCACCGTTTATAGAAAAAAAGATCAAAAAGCCATCAATAATTGGTTTTTGATATCCTTAATCATTATTAGTAATAGACAATTAAGATATGCCTTAAATGGAATGCATCATAGACCTCCTACAATTACTTATTAACAACTTTTCAATCAGGTCTGACTCCTCTCTAAGGTGGTTCTCGCCATTCAAAGGTAGCACAACTACTATATCAGAGTATGTCGCACGTGTGCGACGTCGCGGCGATTGGCACAACTACTATATCAGAGTATTAACAACTTTTCAATCAGGTCTGATCTCTAAGGTGGTTCTCGCCATTCAAAGGAATAATCAATCCTAGAGCCAACCTCTATCATGGGTTTCAATAACCTCTGTGTTAAACTTGTATTATGTTTTAACTCCATTATACTAGTCAAAAGAAGCTTTGAAAAACTATAACATCACTCAACCATGAGAATGGTTATATTTTTATAATCATGTTAATGATATAAATTAAGTTATTTTAGCATGAAGGAGTACTTTAATGATCAATAATGTTTCAAATTAGCTTGGAAGACATGATTTACTGAAATAAACATACAATATTTGTAAGAGAATAAAAAGCTATGAAACTTTCTTATTGCTTTAAGTTAGAATATAATCTCTCATATTTGTCCAAAGACTTGGTGGACAAGTAAATATAGGCTACACATCAATTTCATAAATGTTGTTGGAGTCTTGAGAGCTTAAAAGCTTTCAACAAGTACAAAGAGAATATTGGTTAAAATCATAAAACATGTAAAGTATTTATAGCAATTATTCTAAGAAAAGTGAGTCAACTACCTATAAGACATCTACTAGAGAAACTTTATTTCTCCTTATATATAAAACTAAAACTATAATATTAACTGAAATTGGATACCAAAGTCATCGAGTACTTTAAAGGGTAATGAAAATATACCATAGTCATTGACTAAAAATATAAGTTTCTTATATATAATTAATGTATTCAAAATAATAATATTTTTATTTTCTCCAAGTAATGGCTAAGGGCCTCTCATCAACTCACTTTAGAAGGGATTGATCAACAATCTCCTTAGTATGATTACACAACTCTTCAAGGAAAGGATTGGCTTGTTTCTCTAGGGAAATAACCCTAAAAACCTTTTAATGATAGGATTGAC